GGGCTCGCACCTTGTTTTTTTCTCAATGAAAATCTTCCTGCTCAAACTGTGCCCCTGCCCCCCGGGCTACAACAACAACGGTTCCCGCCTGAGACTTCCTCGATTTTTACTCAGGACCCCCGCTCCCGCCTGAGACTTCCGCGCAATTTACTCAGGAAAGGCGCTCCCGTTTGAGACTTCCTCGCAATGTAATCAAGACCCCCGCTCCCGCCTGAGACTTCCGTGCAATTTACGTGGGAACGGCGCTCCCGCCTGAGACTTCTTCGAATTTTACTCAGGACCCCCGCTCCTGCCTGACATTTCCGCGCAATTGACTCAGGAACGGCGCTCCCGCCTGAGACTTCCTCGCAATTTAGTGAGGACCCCCGCTCCCGCCTGAGACTTCCGTGCAATTTGCTCAGGAACGGCGCTCCCGCTTGAGACTTCCTCGCAACTTAGTCAGGGCCCCCGCTCCCGCCCGAGATTTCCTTACAATGTACTCAGGACTGCGCTCTCGCGTGCGACGTCCTCACAAATTATTCTGGAATTGCGTTTCGGCGCTCAGGAACCACGCACGCGCCAAGGACGCCTTCACAACGTGGTATCTTCCCTCTTCCTTCGTCCTTCCCCCCCCCCTTCCTCCCACTCTCCCTCGTTCTTCCCCTCCTCCTCTTGCAGGGCCCGCGCCAAGATTGTCCGCCCGTTCCGGTTTGCCCGTACGTCTAAGCCCGCCGGCCCCAGCAAAGAGAAATAATCCCCCCGAAAGGGGTGTGATCGAAGACGAAGAAGGCGGGCTTCGAGGGTGTAGGGTATACGTGTTGAATGACTCGCGGGCAAGTAAGAGCGTACAGCCTTAAAATGGTTGTTTGTTGTTGTTGTTGTTGTTGTTGTTGTTGTTGTTGTTTTCTCATTTCTGAAGAATAATTATTGTTGATCCCCCCCCCACCGGTGCAAATATTTTTTCTCAATCAAAGTGTGCCCCTCGACGCTCGCACCCTGCTTTTTGACAGGGAAAATCTTCCTGCTCAAACTGGGCCCCTGGCCCCCGGGTTACAACAACAACGGCTCCCGCCTGAGACTTCCTTACAATTTAGCCAGGACCCCCGCTCCCGCCCGAGACTTCCTCGCATGTTATTCAGGACTCGCGCTCTCGCTTGGGACTTCCTCACCATTTATTCAGGAATCGTTCCCCCGGCGCTCTGGAGTGGCGCTCTCGCTGGAGACTGAAAAATGGCCTTGCGCTGGATTTTTTTGCAATTTGCCCAAGCGCCGCGCTCCCGACACCCAGGCGCCCAGGAGTCGCGCCCGTTGTGGCCCCATGTGCATGCCCTTCGTGGCCCCGCTGTCGCCATTTGTGTCCCCCTCACTGTCCTACGTGGCCCAGTTGCTACCCTCAGTGGCCCCATAGTTGCCTTCTGTGGCCCCGCATTATCTGCACTTCGTGGCCCCCGCTCGTTCGCGCTCTTCGTGGCCCCATACGCATTCCCTTCGTGTCCCCGCTGTCGCCCTTCGTGGCCTACTTCGTGCCCTTCGTGGCCCTGCTGTCGTTCTCTCTCGCTCTCGCTTTCGCTCGTCGTCGCCGTCGTCGTCGTCGTCGCCGTCGTCGTCGTCGTCGCCGTCGTCTTCGACGTCGTCGTCGTCGTCGTCGTCGTCGTCGTCGTCGTGGTCGGTCCCCTGTCCGTCCCTATTGGGGTCGGGTCGACGGTCCGCGGCCGCCCCGCCGATCAGCGCTGCCGCTGGCCAGGCCGACGGTCCGCGGCCGCCGCTTGCCGGGGCCCGGCCTGCAGGGAAGAACGGTATACCCCCCAAAAGGGGTTCGATCGAAGACGAAGAGGGCGGGTATCGAGGGTTTGGGAAATGCGCGTTATTGGACATTCGAGCATCTAAGGGCGAACAGTCTTAAAATGATTGTTGTTGTTGTTGTTGTTGTTGTTGTTGTTGTTGTTGTTGTTGTTGTTGTTTCTCGTCGTCCCACCCGCGACCCACCCCGCGACCCACCCCGCGACCCACCGCGCGACCCACCGCGCGACCCACCCGCGACCCACCCCGCGACCCACCCGCGAGCCACCCCGCGACCCGCCCGCGACCCATCCCGCGACCCGTCCGCGACCCATCCGCGACCCACTCGCGACTCACCCGCGACCCACCCCGCGACCCACCTTCAAGGGAGGACACACCACCCGGATCCAATAATTGACGTGTATTAAAATGGTCCTGAGCGTTGACCAAACAACCCTGCCCTGTTCGATTCATTCGTTGGGTGCGTGTACTAAACGGCTTCGCTTGTCGGGGTGATTATTCTGGGATGGATTTTCTGCCCTCTACACATGCGACCCGCCCGCGACCCACCCGCGACCCAACAGCGCACCACCTGCGGCCCACCCGCGACCAATGTGCGACCCACCCCCGACCTACCCGCAGTGGTTAAACGAAAAAATCGGCGCCTGCGGCGGGCTCGTTGTAGAAGTTGTGAAACTTTGGTGCCTGCGGCGGGCTTCTCCAGAATTTCGCAAACTGCCGACGTCCCCTCCACCCACCTCACTCGTATCAGCATCTGCAGGGTGCAACGTGTGTGTATCTATATACATATATACAATTATATATACATTTACATATATATATATATATATATATATATATATGTATACATATTTGTGTAAGTATATATATATGTGTGTGTAAATATGTATATATATATATATATATAACCCACAAGACTACATGGGCGCTTCGCGCCATGCGCCTGGTTCCGGGCCCTTCCCGGCATAACAATAAATCATCGCTTGCATCAGCAGGGGGGACCTTGAGGACTGGACGGGCGACCGGTTCATTTCTCTGATGTCCCTGGTGCCTGCTTACACCGCGTTGCCGATGCGTTTGCACGATTGTGCGCTGGAGTGGGGAAAGAATGATGATATTTTCACGCGCGAAGGTCCTATGAGGAAGTGACGAGCGTTTCCATGACACGCCGAAGAAGCCGCAGCAGGTCCGAACAAATCGATGTTTGGTCGCTTCCTGAATGCCTGGAGGGCTCCAAGTACTCAGGAAATCTTCGATCGTCGAACTTCGAATCTAGATCCATTGCCTGTCTCTCTCGATCGAGGAACTGACACCTCGAGCCTCAAGCGTGGAACCAAGATCGTCGGGTAAGCTCGATGTACTTCGGAGGAAAACGCCGTCTGTGCGTTTTTGGGACTCTTTAGGCCGTCCTGGGGCCCTCTTGGGCCGTCCTGGGGCCTTCTTGGGGAGCTGGGGCCCTCCAGAGGCCTTCTGAAGCCATCTAGGGCCCTCTTGTGGGCCTCCAGTGGCCTCCTTGGAGGTCTCCCACGGCTTTCATGGGTCTCTCTTGGGAGCCTTCTGGGGGCATCTTGGGCTTCTTGTGGGCAGTCTTGGGGCTCTCTGGGGCAGTCTTGGGGCCGTCTTGGGCCCCATTGGGCCGTCTTCAAAACCTCTGCGGGGGGCCTCTTGGGCCGTCTTGGGGCGATGTCGAGGGCCCATCGGGCCGTCTCGGACGCTGCGAAGACCCGAAAAGCGGAGATGCTAAACATACACATTTTCCTAAAGGAATGGAGCGATGTTTGCTTCTTCGGGGCTCTCTTAACGGCCTCTTGGGGCGTCTTGGGGGCCACTTGCGCCCTCGTCAGACCGTCGAGGTTCCTCTTGGAGCACTATTGTGCTGTCTTGGGTCTCTTTTGCGCCTCTCCGATGACCCTCTGATCGCCTTGAGTCTGCTCGCAAGGCGCCCTGGGAGGCCCGGAAGGGCCAGCGGACTTTTTCCAGGGGCGCCCATGGAGCCGCCGAGACGTCCGAGAGGGCATCCGGGGCTTCCTCTGGGGGAAGGTCCGGTTTAGGGGGGGGGTCCGGGTGATAAAAATATAGGAGTGGGAATCTAGACATACACATATCGAGAGAGAGAGAGAGAAGGCCCGCGCCTTCTAAGAAGCAGGGCGCTTCTACACCCTGCGAAATGCTTTAGAAATCATGGGTTAAGAAATTCATAGTCTCAAAATTTGAAATCAAACCCAGAATGTCTATTCAAATGTTAGGATTGACATTGAAACATTAAGAATAATCGAGACTCTGGCCGAAAACTTGGGTTTTCTTAAGCATCGCCTGGAGTGTAAGGAGCCTTCTCCTCCCACACCCTCTGCGCGTGGCCGACTCTTGCGGCTCGCTCCCGGAGCCTCGAGCCGAAAGAGGCTGCCACCTCCTGGGGGGGGGCCTCTCACATCGGCCGGCTTCCGCCAGCCTTCCGCCGAGGAAGAGAAGGCCACCCCTTGACCCCTCAAAGGCGAGGCTCTATATCTAGGAATGGCAGTATCGTGCGACGCTTCCTCTCCTTCTCCTCAAACACTCCTCTCGTTCTGCTTCGCTCACAAGTTCGCATTCGCCTCCTTCGCCGTCGGCAGCTTCCCCCTCCCTCCCTCCCAAACCTCCGACGCCGTGATTTCCTCAACGCGCGGCCTCCAGGACCTCTCCACCGCTTCCCCAGGGCGTGTTCTTCATTCCGAATGTAATCTTCGAACGACCTTGGCCGGGTGTCGGCCTCCAGACGCCGAAAGCCGTGGACACACAGCCGTCTTGATCGATTGCTCGTCCTTCCAGTTCTGGCTTCTCCGCCACCTGGTCCTCCACCTGGTTGTCATTTACACTTTGCAGGCGTCCAGGGAGCCTGAACTAAATAAGCCCAGATAAGATCGGCCAGGGGGGAGGATGAGGGCAAATCATCTGCCCAAAATCGGTCCCCAGAGACCTTCCGGGGCTCAAAGTGACAAGTTTTCGAGCTGCGTCCAGCCGTGGCGGCGAGGTAAGAGCAAGGACAGGCGAGACCAACACCACCACGGCGAGGATATGCGAGGAGCAAGGAGGGTTTTCCTGGTGGTGTGGTCCCCCCCTCTCGCTCCAGACATCCCCAACCTCGAGCTCGGGGAGGCATCGTGGGCCTCCCTGCTGGGGGTGGACCTCAGTCCCTAAGCTGGCTCCAGCCCCAGACCAGCTTGCTTCGGCAGCGATGCCGCCGCCTGCTGGCGGCTCACGATGGAGTTGAAGCTGCTGCGCGTCAGGCTCGACTGGCGGGGAGCGGGGGGGGAGGGGCGCATCCATCGCAGACCATAATGAAAAAGGACCGACAACCACCGAGGCAGCCACGGAAGGAGACGAAGGAGGAGGAGAAGGACGAGGAGGGGCCATCGAGACGTGCTAACGGCGATCAAGCCCATATCCACGCCCTCGCGGTCAGCATTCCAAGGCGCGATCCAAGGGATATGCGGTCGCATGGATACGATTCGCACGGGGAATCAGCGAACGAAAACTCCACGCATTCACGGGGTCGAGGCCCATGGTCGCGGCACAGGGGCCAGGCCCGCGAGGCCGCGAATACGGATATCTTTTCCGATAACGATTTGCGCTTGCACCCACCCCCCCGAGTCTCTGGGGACCTCGGGGGACATCTGGAGGGCCTGTGGCGCGGAGGGGAGGAGGCGCACGAGGAGGGAGGAGGTGGCCAGTGGATAGAGGCTTGCGATCAGCGCAAGACGCAGCCAGGACGAGGACAACATCGGGTCAGGATAGATCGAGCACCGAGGAGATCCGGCGGACCCTGGAGCATGCCTCGGGCGCCGCGGCCTTCTCGGAGCGCTCCGGCACGCGACCGCCCCTGCAGACGGAGCTGCGCCCTCGCCCCGGCCCCGTCCGCAGGACGCCCCCGCGGGGCCACTGCCAGGGGCCCCCTCGCGCCAGGGGCCGCGGACGCCGTGCCGTCGTCTGGGCGGGCCTGCCCTCGGCAGAGTTGGACGCCCGAAATGGGCCTCACCTCCCCTCGCCCTCCTCGCCCTGCGAACCTCGCCCTCCTCGCCCCCCTCGCGAACCTCCCTCGCCCCCCTCGCACTCCTCACCCTGCTCGCCCTCCTCGCCCTGGTGGCCTCTGCTGGCCTCCCTCGCCCGCCCTGCGAACCTCGCCCTCCTCGGCAGGTTCACAATGCCCAACAACGAATGTTGTCCCAAACCCACAGCGGCCGCTGTGGGGCAGGCGGCCTTCTGTCGGACACGGGCCGCGGCAGCGTGGACCGCGAGTCCTGTTTTTATAAATGAACAGGAACTGCTGTGGGGCACTGTGCCCCTTCTTTCTGTACCCGTTTCGGGCGTCCAGAGCAGAAGACTGAAGAGGGGGGGCCCGGGAGGAGAAGGGTGGAAAGGGGAGGAGGGGGATGGTGATGGTGATGGTGATGAGGAGGAGGCGGAGGAGGAGGAGGAGAAAGAGGAGGAGGAGGAGGAGGAAAAGGAGGAGGAGGAGGAGGAGGAGGAGAAGGAGGAGGAGGAAGGAGGAGGGAGGAAACGCCGGGCGCCGCGGCAAGGCCACGGGACCGCCTGCGGAGGCCCGCGGACCGTCCCACGGCGGGGAGCGGCCGAGGGAGCGGCCGCGGGGAAGGGGTGACTGCCTGCCAAACCAACAACCCGAAACCCCGCATTTCGGGTTGGAGGGGGGGGTACGGGTTCTAGATGTGCGTTTTCAATGTTTCCCCAACCCCTCCCCCCCCCCCTGGAAATGGAGGGCAAATTGAGGATTTCGGGCTGGGCTGGGGTGGCTTGGTGAGTGGGGAATGCGGGGTCGAGAGCTCCGGGGGCCCGCGTCGTGGACGCTTGCAGCGTCGGAGGTCTTGGGCGTGGGGCCGGCCTTCCTTGCAGCCCTGCGAGGCCCACGGCAGCCACGCCCGGAGACTGCCGGTCCTGGCAAGCCCGCAGTGTCTGTCCTGGTGGCTCGGCCGCCTTGCGACCAACCTCTGCGCCTCACACTCCTCTGTTTGTTCCCTGACTGCGGGCTTGCCTGGCACCAGGTATAGTCAGGTATAGCCTAGGGGTCCGGCGCTGGCGCCTGCCTCGCTCAGGCACATGCACTCGGAATTGTTTTACGTCGATCGACAGGCTTTGGTGGCATGATGGCGAATCGAATATGACTTGCACATGTCACTGCAATCGTCAGCTCCATTCCCTTCTCTTCATTCGCACTTAGCGTTATTGGCGCACCTAACGCTCTGCCACACCTGATGCACATCGCGCAATTCATGCACCCAGCGCCCCTGGCGCCATCGGCGCACCTGGGGCATCTGGCCCACCTGGAGCAACGTGGCGCGCGTGGAACACCTAGTATACATGGCGAATTGGGCGCGCCTGGTTCACATGGCGCACCTGTCACAGTGGGCGCGGCCTGGAGCACCTCACGAGGTGCACCTCTGGACCCACCTGGCGCGCTGAGGGCACCTGGCGCCAGTGGGCACATCAAATGTACCTTTCGCGCCTGGTGCACTCTGCGCGCCTGGCGCCCCCTCTCGCAAGTGGTATGACCGTTGCTCACTTCGGCTACCCATGGTGGTCCGTGGGGTAGTGGTCGTCGCTCATGCTGGCTCTCGGAAGCTATGCACGTGCTGGGAGACAGCTCAAGCGTTCCGCGTGGCTGACACAGATGATGTCCGCTCTCGGCGTCTTGCAGTCTGGAGGAGCAGGAGGGAAAGGTGGAAGAGGAGGACACGGAGAACGAGACAGGGCCTGGCCGACACCGGTGTGCTGGCGTTTCGCTGGAAGCTCCTGGTCGGCAACACCCTTCGACGGGTCTCCTTCGATTACCTTGTGGCGCATGCGTTTGGCAACGTACTTGCCGCCGCTCCAACGGCGGCTGCGATGCGTAAGCAACGGCGACCGGCCGCGCGGGGGTGCGCAGACGATGGTGCTGCCCGCTGAAGGCTTCGCGGTCCGTGCCAGGATGCTGTCCTCCGTCGGCGCGGCGGGGGGCGTAGATGTGAGCGCGCACCCGGCCGGCCTGCCCCTCCGTGTCTCTGCGGCGCTCTCGGAGCTCTCTCGGCCTTTTCCCGGGGGTCCAGCCAATTGCACCAGCGGCGGCTACGACCCGCAAAGCTGACCCGGAGCACCTGGGTCACCCTGGCCTTGCGGGACGTGCGTTGGTCTTGCCGCGTCGGTTGCGCCTGGCCCCGGTGCGGGTCTCGAAGCGAGCACGGCGTCCACAGGTGGCGCCGCCTTCAATAGAACCATACGTGCCAGAAGAGGCCCGCCCAAAGTAGCGAATGAAACTCCTTGGACTATACTGCGTAAGGGCGTAGTACGTGCCAGACGTGAAACACCTGGGAGTGAATCAACACGTCTCGCCAACGCCTTCAGCGTGACTGCTTGCGCTCCGCAGTCCATCCCTTGTGCTGTCCAGCGCTTCAGTTTTGCTGTCCAGGACTTCAGCACGTCTCGTCGTAGTCGATATAGCCGAACCCTGGCAATTATTGGGCGACTTGCAGGCGTCGGAACTGAAACAGCCGAATCGATCGTGTTGTTTTGCACGTCAGGCCATGCATCCATGCAATCAGCCGAGCTGTTTAAACAAAATTCCTTGCTGCCGTCGTGACAGAAGCAGTCGCGTTCATCGTTCTCCTTCAGATTTCTGGGGTTACAAACTGCTGGACGGCAGGCAAGGCGGGACCTCGGGGCACGTTGATTACCGCACGGAAGAGTGCAGCCGAGCCTTCTGGAAGTACCCAAGATAGAGCCGCCCATCACCAAAACAATCCTACGGCACATGGCTTCGACGCCTCGTGTTCATTGGCAAACTCGATCGTTCAGCGGATCCCGATCGGTTTGGAGGTTCCCGTCGCATTTAAGCCATCGTGAGCACCCGTATGGGCTCTACGGGTCTACCCCCTCGGGAAATAGTGCACTGATGGGCAGCTTTGCATTCGCCTCTCGGTGGTTGTCGACCTGACCCCTCTGGGGCCTCATCATTGACTTCCGCCGGCCTTCACCGACCTGCCGCCAGAGCGACAAGCGGAGCCGCCCTCGCGCGGCCTCCGCCAGCTTAGCCGCGGCCCTTCCGCCGAGGGCGAGACGCCGACCCTTCGGTCCGTTCATCGAGGCGAGTCCTTTTCTGGACCGTTCTGGCTGACCAGTCGCTCTCCCCTTCGAACTCGTCGTCCTGGAACGCAAACCCATTACCCCAGGCGAAGTGGCGGCGCCCTGCTGTTTCGTCTGCTTCGGAACATGATGGTTTCCTCGTCCTCATCCTCCATCCATCGTTTGCGTCTCCTGCTCCTCCTACTCTTCTTCCGACTTCTTCACAGCCTCCGCGGTCTCACTCTCCTCCTCCTCCTCCTCCTCCTCCTCCTTCAACTCCTCCTCCTCCTCCTCCTCACCCTCTTCCTCCTCCTCCTCCTCCTCCTCCAGCGCATCCTCCTCGTCTTTGGCATCTACATCATCTCTAGTCTCCTCCTATCATATCCTCCCCCTCCTGCTGCCTCCTTCTCCTCCTCCGCCTCGTGTATCTGTTCTCGCTATGTTCCGCCCCCCCTCCCCCTCCTCCTTCATGGCCTCCTCCTGTCACACGTCGCCATCTGCCATCCGCTTCGTCTTCCTCCAACTCTCCTCTCTCCTCCTCCTCCTCCTCCTCCTCCTCCTCTTCCACCTTTTCCTCCTCCTCCCGCCCCCCTGCGCCGCTTCCGCCATACCTCCTCATCCATGCGCGCGCCTGTAGGGGAGGGCAAGGAGGAAGAGGCACCCTGGCCCTCCAGAGTGTTACAAAACAGCCCCCCCCCCGACCTGTAGACCTGTCTGGATCGCCGAAGGCCTCGAGAGGAATTCAGACATCGAGGCCCTGGCACTACTTCTTTAGCCCTCCTGGAGGGAAGGGGGAGGAGGGACCCTGGCCTTCCAGAGTGCTACAAAAGGTTCCCCCCCCCCAGATCTCCAGACCTGCCTGGGCCGCCGAAAACTTCGGGAGGAACTCCGATGTCGAGGCCCTGGCGCTACTTTTTCAGCCCACCTGGAAGGTCAGGGGAGTGCAGTCGAAACGCTGTCATGAGGAATCCTGCACACACATCGGTCGGAAGAAGTAGGTAAAAACATGAAGTCGGAAGGCGGATTAAGCTGGCAGGGCTCAGTGCCTCCCAGAGAATCACAGAACACAGCAAAAACAGATCGACGCTTGAAGTATGAAGGCGCTTGAAATAGACTGGGATCTGGAAATCCGAAGATACCCACTTTCAACGATCGGCGTTTAAGGAACGAGGCCCCTTCTTTGTACATAAGTTAAACTTCGGCTCCCCAAATAGAAAGCCTAAAGACGACCTACGACAAACTGTACAACAACTGACGAACACTGAGCCCCTCCCAAACGAGAAGGGTTCCTTCTTCAGCGGCCCGACTGTAGGGGAGGAGGCGGGAGGCCGATCCTCTACTGCCCCCACCTTCTCCTCCGGCAGACGCCAGCGGACGCCGACTGGTGGGCGCTGCGAGACGGTTCGAGCCAAAGCGACGGTCCCCTGAAGGGACCGGGCGCACGTGCGGTGCGCAACCTGCGACGCAACATGCGAAGCGTAGACATATCAGTAGAAAAAGCGCGATGTGGGGGCTCTCGCGGGAGGTCTGACGCCAACGTGCGGCGCACTCCGTCGTCGTCGTCGGCGGCGGCGGCGTCGGCGTCGCCGTCGTTGACGTCGTCGTCGTCATCGTCTTCGCCGTAGTCATCATCGTCGTCGTCGCTGTCGATCGCCGTCGCCGTCGCCGCCGCGGTCGTCGTCGCCGTCGCCGTCGCCGGCGCCGTCGCCGGCGCGGTCGGCGTCGGCGTCGGCGGCAGCGTCCGCTCTCGCAGGCCGCGCGCCGCCCGGTCGGTCGAGCGCGGGGAGGCCGCCGGTCCGCCGCGCGCCCCGGCGGGGCCAGATGCAGGGGAACGAAGAAGGGCATGAGTACGAAGGGGCCCTGGGACACACACAGATAAATACACACAAATAGAAAGATTCCCTATATTTCCCCATGTTTTCTGGGTTTTTGTCTTCCCCCCCCACTTCCCATGTTTTCCCATATTTTCCTGGGGGTCGACGATTAATTGTGTCTGTGTGTTTCTTCCCCTCCTGAATGAGCACGAAGGCTCGGAGGTCCGCGCGGCTTGCTCGGATCGGCGCTGGGCCCCCCTCCCTGGCGAGCGGAGCTCGCCAGGGAGGGGGGCCGGAGGCGCCGCCAGGGGGGTCCAGCGCGGATCCGAGGAACCCGCGCGCACCTCCGAGGTTTGTATATATGTTGTTGCTCGTTCCCCTAAATGTGGAGTGTAGACAGGCCCGGGACACGTCGGGTCCGCGGGGAGTCAAGGTAGGGGCTGTATCGGATCGGAACATCGAATCGAATCGAATCGAATCGGAATCGGCATCGAATCGGCATGCATCGGGTAGGCATCGAATCGAATCGGAATCGGCATGCCCAGTTGCTGAATCGAATCGAGCCAGAATCGGGATCGGAATCGAATCGGTAGCAAATCGGCCGCGCAAGCCGAATCGAATTCGAATCGAATTTTGAACCTGGACGCACATCTCAGTCTGGCGAAACATGCGGTCGGTACATACAACGCATGAGATTTTGCTATCAGAAAACTCTGGATATCCGCGGGCACCTTCGGCAACTGGGAGATGGAACACTTCCATGATGCACTTGCCAATAGCCGATGCCTTGCTCGATGTGCCTACTGCATGGCGCGGAATCTCCAGAAAGCTTCCTGAATGGCCAATTCTTAGGTCGGGCATGTCCTCCTAGAGGCGCATTTGGGAACAAGAACAAACGATAGTCACAAATAGTCAAAACATCGTCCCTTGACTATTCTCAGCCTGCTCTTGAATATTCATCCTGTAGAGGGACATGCCCGACTTCAGCCAATAGTTCACTCGTCATGAGACGTCGGATGAGGCAACGGACGACTTGGTTGCCCGCGGGGGGCCTGGCGGAACCCGTGGAGCCACCCGTGGCCCGCACACCAGGGCACAACGAACCCTGCGGGGGGGTCTGCGGGGGGTCTGGCACAACCTGTTGCGCAGCGCATGCCGGAAGCTCTTCGGGGCCCCCTTTAGGGCGGAGCTTGTTTCCGGAACCAGCCCGAATCGTCTCAGTGCGAGACGCCCCTACTGCCTGCCTGACCTGCCGCACCCGATGGCGGACCTGTTCCTTCCCAGCGACCAGAGGGCGCCATGATTCGCGCAACCAGTGGCAAGCCGTCGTAGCTTCGGCAGCCGTGGGCACATCCGATGCGGGCAACCAGCAGAACGCCGCCACTTCTTCGGCGGCCGAGGGGGCACCCGACGGCGCCGCCGATGGCGAGCGAGCCGTGTGGCCTTCGGCCACCGAGAGCGCTGCGCCTGTGTCGCGATCAGTGTCAGGCCTTCTTTCCCTGCAGCAGCCGAGAGCGGAGCAGATGGCTCAACCACCAGCACGTCATTTGTCCTCGACAAGTCGAGGGCGCAACACACGGCGCAACCAGTGCACACCAGCGCCAGGAAAGACAGTCCAAAGCCTCCCACCACGCGAGGACATCGCCACACCAGTGCAACAAGACTTCAGCCACGAGGGCTCTCCGCAAGAAGCCCAGATCCCTGAAACCTGACGACATCGATGGTGTCGAGATTTGGGTATCCTCGGGTTCTCATTGCAACTCTCTTCGGCCCAACGAGCCCAGTTGACACTGGAAAAGCACGTGCGGCATCTTGGCAGGCGTCCTGCTGCAGTGCAAATTTAGGCCGCGTGCACGGAGAGGAATGAGCGGCAACTGAAGGGCATGGGCCGACCATGTTCGCCCCATTCCCCTCCTCGCACCCTGCCCCGGTTGCAGCCTCCTTCGCTTCCCAGTGGACGGTGGTTTTGTCAGCCATGCTGTCCTGGTGGGGAAAAGCGCGCAAGAACGGGAAGGTGAGGAGGAGGAGGAGGAGGAGGCGGAAACAGGAATTGGAGAGAGGAGGAGGAGTAAGAGGAGGAGGAAGAGGAGGACGAGGAGGAGTGTTAGGAATTTCGAGCAAGGGCCTGCTCGGAGTGAAAAGGTTGAAAACGTTTGAAAGAATGAAAAATTGGAAGATTTTCAAACCAGATGTCCCGGGTTGAAAGATTGAGATTGACATATCTGTCTTTGTTACATGATTTCAATCAACCTTTCAATTCGGGAATCTCGGTTTCAACCATTCTTCAACCTTTCAGCTTTTCAATCTGGGGCGCCTGGTTTGAAACATCTTTCAATCTTGCAACCTTTCCATCCAGGAAGCTCTGTTTGAAAGGTAGTTCAAGATGTCAACCTTTCAATCTGGCAACTCCGGTTTGAAAGACCTTTCAATTCCTCCATCTATCAATCTGGGGCGCCCAGCTTGAAATATCTGGCACTTCTCCGATCTTTCAAACTG